TGACATAGTGAGACTCTGTCTCAAAAACAAAACAAAACAAAACAAAAAAACAACCAGAAAAACTAGCTGGGCATTGTGGGGGACAACTATAGTCCCAGCTACTAGGGAGGCTGACATAGGAGGATCACCTGAACCCAGGAGTCTGAGCTTGCTGTGAGCTAAGATGACACTACAGCATTCTAGCCAAGGTGAGAGAGTGAGACTATGTCTCAAAAAAAGAAAAAAAGAAAAGAAATGAAAAAAAAAGACATATTCTATATGTGACATGCCTTATATGCTGTATTCTTACAATAAAGTAAGCTAGAAGAAAATAATGTCAGTAAGAAGATCATAAGGAAGAAAAGGTGGAGGTTGGCCAGCAAAAGTAGAAGAAAATCTGCATAAAAGGATGTTGTCCAAGGGTCATTTATAATAAAATCCTACCTTCCTTCTAAAGTTACATCATGAAAAGAGGCAGAGGTTATCATGTTTCTAGACATTGGCTGAGCATGACTGGGCATCTTACCCATTAGGAGTGCTTCCAACTTTGTCACATATATCCATAATAAGACTCCAATCTTCTGTAGTGTTATACTCATTTGTGGCTTTTTCTACAAGATATATCAGCATACACAAAATTTAGGACATGTCTTAAATAACACTACAATACCAACAAAGACACAACAGGTAAGAAGCCCAAACTTTTCTATTGCCACCAAAGATAAAAGAGTTTATGAACTTTAGAAGATAGAGTACTTCTATTAATTATAAATTGTATAAATACCTTCTAAAAAGTTAAATTACAATGATCAGTAATCTTATCAAATTCTATTTTGGAAGAAAGCTTTCAAAATGTCTACCATCATGACCAGGTGCGGAGGCTCAAGCCTGTAATCCTAGCACTCTAGGAGACTTAAGGGGGTTCAACACCAACCCGAGCAAGAGGATGACCCCACTTCTACCAAAAACAGAAAAATTAGCTGGGCATGGTGATGCATGATTGTAATGCCAACTACTCAGGAGGCTGAGGGAGGAAGATCACTTGAACCCAGGAGTTTGAGGCTGCTGTGAACTAGGCTCACGCCATAGCATTCTAGGCTAGGCAGCAGAGCAAGACTCTTGTCTCATAAAAATAAAAAATAAACAAATATGAAAAGAACCACTTTAATAACATTTTATCTTTTCTGCTTTTTAATAAAATATTTCCTATAATTTCAAAACCTATATAGCAAAACATAAATATATGAATGACAGGTTACACTACAAGTAGGAAAGATAAGAGGGTACAAATCTAGGGCAGTTTCCATTTTTTACAGCAAGGAATAATCAAAAGAAGCCCCAAAATGAATAAGCTCAGCACACAACTATATTTCATGAGTCAAGAGAAATAAACGAAGTGCAGTTAACCTCAGTTAAATGCTGGAACCCACTTTTAAAAAAATCATGCAAATTGCTTACCACTATTTATGGCTGGAAAGCAATTCTTCTGAAATGAGATAAAATGACAAACCAAGAATTTTAGAAAATATATTTCTGCCAACTAAGATTCAGGCACAAAATTGTGCAGGTAGAAACAGATCTACTCAAGCCTAGCTTTTCCCTTTATACAAAGATGAATACTTCTACATGCAAAGTCAGACTAAACTTTTCAGAGGTTTAAAATGCTTAACTAAGGCCAAGCACAGTGGCTCATGCCTATAATCCCAGCACACTGGGAGGCTGAGGTGGGTGGATTGTCTGGGCTTAGGAGTTCAAGATCAGTCTGAATGAGATGTCTCTAAAATTAACTGGGCATTGTGGTGGGTGCCTATAGTCTCAGCTACTTGGGAGGCTAAGGCAAGGGTGGCTTGAGCCCAAGAGTTTGAGATTTCTGTGAGCTATGATGCCA